TGTGTGTGTGTGTATATATATATATATATATATATATATGTGTGTATACATTTAATTTTTGCTTGTTTTCATGTTCTACAGCTTATGGGAAGGAAGGACTGAAATTGAATTTTGTAGATCGGATCTTTGTCGGAGAGCTGACCAGTACGATAATGTGTGAAGAGTGTGAACATGTAAGAGTTTCTCATATGTAATGTACAATGTCCACATGCAAAGCCAGATTATATAATTCACTTTTTTTAAACAATTTTATTTAAAATAAAAAAAATTTTTTTATTAAAATTATGCATTTTAAATGTTATATTATTTGAAATGTATACTATTAATTTAATTTATAATATATGCCTTTAAATTTACTGTATTATATTACATTTATAATATAATATGTGATGTGTAGAATATATAATATGTAATATAAAATTGGTTTCATAATGTATGTTTATGAATTTTTGTATTTATTTTAATAGAGTGACTACTAATTGTAATGGGTAACATACTTATATGATTCACTCCTAGATTTCCACAGTGAAAGAAGCCTTCATTGATATTTCCCTTCCCATCATAGAGGAAAGGGTGAGACCAGGCTTAATTTATTGTTCGACAATTGTAAAACATCTGTTCCTTTATTTTATTTGCATGTAATATTCTGTCCATGCGCTAAATGTGCTGAGTTGTCTTGAATCGAGTGATGTCGTTTGATGGTTTGTCGGTTTTCTTGCCCAGATCTCTAAGCCCACAAACCCTGCTAGACTAGGGAAAAGTGGGCGTGAGCAAGATGGTCTGGCCTCTCATGATGACTCATCAGCTGCCCACTCACACACCAATCGAAACAACCGAAGGTTAAGTGGACAGGTAGATGGAGCCATTATTATAAAAGAAGCATTGTTAGTTCTTATACACTAGTGTTCAAAAGTTTGTAGTCTGTAAGTATCTTATGCCCACCAAGGCTCCATTTATTTGATCAAAAATACAGAGTACAAACACTAATATATTTTTAAATATTATTACAATTTAAAATAACTGTTTTCCATTGGAATGTTTTAAAATGTAATGTATTCCTATGATTCCTCCAGTGTAACACGATCATTCAGAAATCATTCTAATATGCTGATTTGGTGTTAAAGTGCCCCTATTATGCCATTTTGATTATTGCCTTTCATGCAGTGTGTAATGTAGCTGTATGTGAATGTAAACAATCTATAACGTTGTAAAGTCGAAAGTGCATGATAAATAAAGTTATCGTCTCCCAAAAGAAAGAATCAACTCTTCACAGCCTAAATGAGTAATCAGTACACGTCTACACGTCACTGGGTAACACATTTGCATAATGCTCTATGCTCTATGTTCTACATTGGCCGGCCATGAACAACTTGACCCACCCTCAAACACTGTAGCTTGTTCATGTCGAGAAGATGCTATGTCTTGCACTGTGAAAGTAAATACATTTTCACTTTCACTTCTGGAAGTTTAGGCTGCAAAGAATCAGTGGTTAAAATTCATTTTTTCCCACTGTACCACAGCAGCATAACTCCAATCTTTTTTTGTGTTCCTGCCATTTTACAACTGAAACTGGAATTCACAAAACACTTGTTCTTTAAAATATGGCTCAGTACCCAGTTTATTTGGACCAGCTCTCTACACTGAATCACAACCTGTAAGTATGATAGATAATATATGTTTATAATTTCTTTTGAGCATTCAAAATACAGAGCTTTGGCAGTGGGCGTATCGTTTCAAACACGCACTGTATGCGGTAGTCCAATCACAACAAGACTGGGCCATCTGACCAATCAGAGCAGAGTAAGCTCACGGAAAGGATGTCTTGTTTGGTTCAATTTAATCAAACTCAAGTTTATTTCCCCCTTGGTGTGGATCTTTTGGGCAGGTGTGAATACAGCAATCGCACGCAGGTGTGGACTAAACAACCGCACCGAGACCCAGCTGAAGAGGTGGTCTCAGTCCGGTTCCAAACGATCACTGGTACGCTTGAGAATTTCTGTCCAATGAATGGATAACCTTAGCACACGTGTGGTTTTTGTTTACAATTTCAGGTTCACTTGCACAAAGGGTAGTGTGAAAGCGAACCACACCAAACAAAAAAAAAATCTACATTGTATTTGGACCGGACCAAAGCAAGTGAACTAGCGGACTTTCCTGGTGTGAATACACCCTGAATCTTAAAACTGCTTTGAGATTTAATCAAACTCAAGTTTGTTTCCCCCTTGGTGTGGATCTTTTGGTCAGGTGTGAATACAGCAATCGCACGCAGGTGTGGACTAAACAACCGCACCGAGACCCAGCTGAAGAGGTGGTCTCAGTCCGGTTCCAAACGATCACTGGTACGCTTGAGAATTTCTGTCCAATGAATGGATAACCTTAGCACACGTGTGGTTTTTGTTTACAATTTCAGGTTCACTTGCACAAAGGGTAGTGTGAAAGCGAACCACACCAAACAAAAAAAAAATCTACATTGTATTTGGACCGGACCAAAGCAAGTGAACTAGCGGACTTTCCTGGTGTGAATACACCCTGAATCTTAAAACTGCTTTGAATGAATCGTTAGAGAATTGTTGAAAAATGAGGTGAAATTAAATGCATATATTAAATGCAGGGAAAACAAAAGTGTTTTTTGACCTTGCATGCATGTAAACCTATTGTGGGAGACTCCCAAAACAATATTAGGAACCTTAAAAATGGCATAATATGGGTACTTTAAAAAAACATGTATTATTATCGATGTTGGAAACAGTTGTGCTGCTCAATATTTTTGTGGGAATCATGATACAATTTTTACAACATTTATAAAAGATTTTACTGTTTCTTTTAATCAATTTAATGCATCCTTGTAGAATAAAAGTATGAAACTTCTCACTGACATCTTCCTTGTAGTGTATGTTCTTCCTTGCTTCATTGTTAATATTACGTTATGTTTGTTTGTGTGTTGATGCGCTCAGAAGTTGCAGGGTCGCCATTCGTCCACTTCTCATGATGAAAGAGGTGCAGATTCGGTTTCTAGCCGACAAGAGGAGGAGCTCTTTGTGGTGGGGTGTGGCCTGGCCAGTTACCGGGTGGATACGATAGGCAGCCAATCAGACTGCAGCGAGAAGGATTCCAACCTGCAGGACAGCAGTAACGATGCGGACAGCGAGGCCTCAGAGAGCGAATGGTCTCCTCGGATCCCATCTGTGTCCAGTCATAGTAGCACATCAGATAAAGTCTCAACCACTGCAACTTCAGCCTCAACAGCACACAATCCAAGTCTAAAACCTAACATAAACCCAAGTCCCACTCCCTTAGCTTCCATTAGACCTCAGCAGGGTGGCGCTGTAGAGCAGCTTGTCAGCGCTGTGTCCAAGCTGGGCCTGGTACACACTTCCACAGACACTCTACCTGTCAGTCACAGCCCAGAGGAACCGACCGAAATCCGGGAGAGAGACCGTCAGCACCATCAAGGGGCTTTCCAGGCTCTCTGTCACAGTTACACACCCAGCTCTAAAGAGTGTTCCGTACAGTCCTGCCTGCATCAATTCACATCTGTTGAGCTGCTGATGGGCAACAACAAACTACTTTGTGAAAACTGCACTGAAAGGAGGCAGAGACCGATGAAGAGGAGTGGTATGTGGTATATATCATTTATTTGATCAAAATATAGTGAAACTGATGTTGCGAAATATTACTACAATAAAAAATTAAATAGTTTTGTATTTTAATATTAAAATATAAAAAAAATATATAAGATGTAATGTATTCCTTTGATGGAAAAGCTGAATCTATAGAAATTCATTTCAATCTGGCAGTTTATGGACGATACATATATATATATATACATTTTTTGATGGCTGATAAGCATATGTTGATCATCACATGTTGCATCGTATTTATGTATGTTTCAGATAAGAAGGCTGAGAAGGTGTACACCAGTGCCCGTAAACAGATGCTTATCTCGGCACTTCCTCCAGTGGTCACTCTTCATCTTAAACGATTTCACCAGGTCTGAATCCTCAGTATACGGCAATACGGTGGGGGGGATCATATAATCAAGTTATAGTCTTCTTATGTGATGGCACAATGATTGACCTTTCTTTATCTTTGCAGGCCGGGATGAATCTGAGGAAAGTTAATAGACATGTGGATTTTCCTCTTTTGCTAGACCTGGCACCTTTCTGCTCTGTCACTTGTAAGGTAATGATTGGAGTTATAAATATCAGTAAAGACCAATGATTTATGAATCCGTGTACAGTATTGATTCAGTATTTATATGTGTGGCAGAACCTCGGTTCAGGAGAGCGTGTGCTTTACAGCTTGTATGGCATTGTGGAACACAGCGGATCAATGCGAGGTGGGCACTACGCAGCCTATGTGAAGGTCCGCACCCCCCAGCGTAAACCTGAGCTGCGCCGGAACCAGTCAGGTACAAAGCCGCCCAAACAGAATCCAGTTTCCATGTGCTCATCAATACGTTTCTTTGCAGCTGGTTCTGAAAGGCCTGAAAAACCTGTAGGTAAACAAAGGGTTGTCTGCATCTCGGCATTGGACCACAACCTTGAATGGGCTTGTTTAGAAAAGGCCAAGTGGGATTTGTTTGTTGTTGATCTATAGATGTGTTCTTCTCCACTCTCTACTCAAGGAGAGAGCCTACCTTTCAGCAGCGTTTGGAACGGAGTAAAAAGCCCATGGAGAACTGTGAGAAATTATTGTACAGACTCGGTGGTTAACCGTTGCAGTGCACAGATTGAAGCTGAATTGTTGTTTATAATGAAGGCTGCACAAGCTCTAAAAGACTCCTCGAACCGAAGCGGGGGTTGAAAATCTATTTTGCCTCTGTGTCTCCATGCGGTTTTTTTCAGTCACCTTTCTTGTGTTTTCATTATAGGACTCTTTAAAAGGCAAAAGTGCAAAATCGTCAAATCAGTAGGGATGTGTAAATAGCTCCTGTAGTATGAGGAGGATTGATTCTAACAAAAATATTGATGTAAAGTGTCTCAAACAAGTCCTTTTCATTTATTCATCATGAAAAGCTTTGAAATGGAGAAAAAAAGTAGATCGCTCTACAGGAGACAGAGAAACATCATGTGGTGTTATTTTCTCTTTAATAAAAGCAAAGCTAAATGTGGCATTTTATTAAATAGTTTTAGGATTGATTGTGTTCTGTAATTTTTAATAATTAATAAATATGATAATTGGATGTCTTGAAGTTAAGAACTAAATTATTGATTTCAAATATAATGTTAAAAGGCTATAAATACTCAAATCAAATAATCAAACAAAAATAGAGTTTAGGAAAACAATGCCTGATGAAGGTCACATGACCAAAATGTTGCATTAAAATATGATTTGCGGGCAATTGCAGTGTGCAGGATTCGTCTGTTTCTATTAGATTATTTGCGTTTCTTTATTCATACACACCTATATATGATTTGCTTGGAGTTGTGGTTGCATTTTATTTATATCCTAAAAATTAAAGAAAAAATGAAATGGGCCTATTTAATAAAATATTAGAATTATTTTAAATACACATTAGTTACACATTACTTTGATTGATACGGATTTAAATTCAGCGTGTACAAATATGATTACAAGTTTAATATTAGGTGTGATTAAAAATGACAATTAATTATTTTTTGTTAAATAAAATTTGAATCAGCCCAACTGTATATGTTTTTGCATACGATATTGCATTGTATGTTGCATGCATTGTTTTACATATACAAAAGCCCTTGTTGTTTTTAAATAAATTTCCACTTAGTTGTGTTTGATGACAACTGATGACTAGTAGCACAGTCTGGATTTTTTTTGTGGATGTTCCTCTGAATACCAACATCTCTTTGTTTTTTTAGGTTCCAGAGAGGCCAGTTTTGCCCCACAAGGTCAGTGGGTGTATGTTAGCGACACCAGTGTACAGACTGTACCGGAGTCCAGAGTGCTGAACTCTCAAGCTTATTTACTTTTCTACGAAGAACTGCTATAGAGCCTGACGAGCACGTGAATGCAAGATGATCCAGACAAATGCAACAGGCGATATCAGCTCAGACAACAGCGAGCACTTACTGCATGACTATAATACCGTATTTTAATGTACGAAGGATTCCATATACTAAAAACTTGGTCTTATGGCTCAGTCATTACTCAAGGTGACCTGAATTAAAATTGGGAGCCATTATAATTAATGTAAAATAATATTCTGAATTTAAGTTATTAATGTTTTACAGCTAATATTTGAGCTTAACATTTATTTTTTTGGGTGTTCATTTTGCAGGAGAAATTGCCAAAGAGAAATTTAGGATAAATATGTATATAATATATAATATGAGAAGGAGGACTGTGCCAAAACAGACTATAACCTCTGTTGTGAAAGGGAAACCCAGCACAATATGCATCGGTTGCTTTCAGAGCCATTTAAACACATCATATCCTGCCCTGGATCACACACGCATAGACACGTGCAAACAACGTCATCATTTACTTGGAGACCATTAAAAAGTTGGTGCAATATTCCTAGACTTTGCCTCATGCCTAATTTTTCTGTTTCAGAACTGAATATGAATAGAAAACTATTTTTTATTATTATTTTCCCCTCATGACTTCTGAAACTACAGTGCCTACAGTTTATGAGGTCTGAGATTGTCTTTTGTAAAGTATTCAATTCATACAGGAGTATAAAGAGAATGGTATGTGTATATACTGATTAGAAATATACATAATTGTATGTCAAATATGTACTATTTATTCTGTTTACTGGGCAGATATTGTAACACCATAGATTTGTGTGGTGTATAAGGCTTCAGGGTTCCTCAAGCTGTTCTTTTGCTTGAATTTTGTGAACAAAATCCAGTATAAATCATTTCAAACGATCCTCTAAATACATTTAGTTGAAGAAAACCTTTGAGTGGGGTTTTTTTTTCTTTTTTTTTTGACAGATTTTCTATTTTAGTAAACATCAAATACAGAACATAACAAAAACAACAACAAAACACATGATCACAAAAGAAAGCGAGAGAGAGAGAGGGGGGAAAAAACAGCTACCAACAACAGTTACTTGAGGTCTTACAAGAAATCAAGAACCACATTGGGAGGGCTTCTCTTGAGCCAGCATTTAGTAACCGCTTTCTTACATGCAACCAAAAGAATCTTCAAAAAGTAATTATCACTTTAGCTCAAACACTCCAGAGTAACCCCTAGGAACATAGTAGAAAATGACATCTATGTTAAAGGTCCCCTGAAATGCTTAGAAACACGCAGCGTTACTCTGTGTTGACGTCATTTGAACTGAAACAGGAAGACAGGGCGGGACATATCAAGCAACCCCGCCCCTTTTTAAAATAGCCAATAGCATTCGTTTATCACAGCTTGGGCTTGAGCTCCGTAAAGCCGTATTTGACAGGGTATGCCAGCCATAATCTCATCTATATTGCTATAAAATATAGCATTCTGTGTAGAATTCGAATAGCTCCGATACATTTTGCGGTCTGCACCGACTCGCGCATGTGATCAGCTCCGTGCTATGGTGTCTCTGGACCAGAGCAGAGTGTGTGTGTGCGTTAGCGTGACACAGCGCGAAACCAGACTTCTTTTTTTCCTTAATGGAAAGCATATTTACACTGTTTGAATCGCTCCCCGTCCCCTATATAGTGCACTACGTGCCATTCACTGTAGCCTACAGAAAATACTAATTCTGTGGACAAGTGACCGATCTCAGGCCCGCGGCTTCAGCGTCTATTTTATAGTGTAGGGGGCAGGCGCTTCGGATTCTAGAGAGCATTTGATTGGACAGAAAGTTTGATGAGAAGCTGAAGTACGATGTGACGTCAAAAAATCGTCTAGTCGTTTTGGCGGAAGTGACGAACTGCAAGCTTTGAATGCTTATATCTTCTACATGCGAATTTTGTCACTGTTTTGGACTAACATATTGATACTAACACCCAAAAAACTTAAATTTTGATTTCATGGGGACTTTAAAGCCTACTACCCTGGACATTAATTGTCCCACCCTTACCCAAAAAGGCTGAAACCTTTGAGGGTTTGAAATGATTTCATTTTGTTACGTAGTGCTGAATTATTTTGGGGTCCCTGGGTGCCTTGTCTCTCTTTCTCTTTCTGGAGATGTTGTAGGCCATTAGTATCCCCTGTCGCCACAAATCCCAGGATGCCATTTTCACTCTCCTTGGCTGAAGATTCGGCGTGACGGGTGCAAAGGTGTGCTGTTTTAGACCATGTTGCTGACTGGTGAAGAGGAGGTAGGTGTGAAATCAGAAAAGGGCAACGTCTGAAACAATCGTGTCCGCCTCTCCTCATTCCATGACATTCGAATCAAGCTGTTAGATGGTTATCAATTACAACCAAGTGTAAAAACAACAAGAGTGTGCAATCTTTGCAAAGCATGTCTATTTTTAAAGCAAGGCTGTCTTTCAGGGACGTTGTGCGAGTGTTAATGTGAGGTAATGATAGGATGTATTTCCCTCAATCTGAACTGACAGAGAAACCTGATCTGAGGGACCGGTGGAGCTGCTTTTGCCTTCGAAAGAACCCGTTGAATGTGAAAGGAGACATTCAGGCCTCATACCTTCAGGGCAGACATAACAAGTGGTTAGAGATGATGCTTGTTATCTTTTTTGACCCAGCTGTGTCTCTGGATTACTCTACAGCATGTAACCCGTTCTGTCACTCTTTCAAATGTGATTCTGTCTTTGACACGAGTCTGAGGCTGGGTGAATTATATTCCCTCTAACTGGACACCACCATGTATGATATGAATCGGTATGAAGGATAGGATATCAAAACTGTACTTAAGTAATGGCCATCTCATTTCTTGGTTTTGAACCAGCCCTGTATGCATTTATCGACTATTATGTGTTGAAGATGCCAGAGAAGATATCTGAAATGTCTGGTGTATCCAACTCTGTCGTGCTTTACAATTCTTGGTTTGTTGAAGGTTTGTCCTCAAAATTCCTTCATTCCACACAAGCTTCAGTAGCAGTGTGGTGTTGAATTGCTCAATGAAATATCAACACAGTGTCTTTGAGACTAAATTAAGAATTTAAAAGAAGTAACTGGAGTACCTAAAAGAAAAGATTATTACATTACATTCTTATAACAATATATGTCTAGCGTGTTCATTGTCATGGGAACTGGTTCAGAATTCAAACCCTCAAGCATCCTCCTTCAAATCATTTTTCTAATAGTTTCCTTAATCTGAGCAAGACTTGGCTACTTTTCCTAAATTTGCCACCTGAACTCACACACACACACACAAATGGACTTGATTCAACAGAGTTAAGTGGCTGAAAAAAGAAAAACTCCATAATTTGCCCTTCGTGGACAAAAGTAGGCACCCATAAGAAATTAATGGGAAATACTATAATCAATAATAATAAAAAATCAATCAATCCAACACAATGCAGATCATGCATACACATAAATGCGCCTATACAACATTATCAATGTGGCAAACACACACCCACAAACAAAGCATTGAATGAGCTTATAACAGAGTGGTATTTTATTTTATTGATTTATTTTTAATTTTGTAAAATAAAAACCAGTCACACTCAAAAACAAATAATTGGATGAACCAATGAGGTTTTTTTTTTGTTTGTTTTTTTGAATGAGCCAATCAGCCACTGTGCACACACACACACACACACACTTCAAAGTCAAATCAAAGACCTACTGCAAGATATGTTGATGAATCCAAACAAAACATGTCTGAAACATGCTACTTGCTATGTTTATTGTTTATTCTTACCTGTTTGGTACCATTTTACTTTAAGTTATTGGAATTTTATTTTATTTTTTAATATATTTTTTTTAGAAATAAATTGTTACTCTGTCTCCTACTTTGTCTTTTCCTTATAACATGGTCAGATTTGTCTGTAAGCATATTTTGGAATCTTTGTATAGTCTCACCCAACACAAATATTTTTTTTTTAATTCTATAATTTTAACATGATAAAATCTAAAACTTAAGAGGATTAAGTTCATTACAACAATTGTTTATAGATTTCAGCCTATATGGAGCCATTGAATACTACAGACAGGGGCGTAGCGTCTTGTATGCAGGTGCATATGGGCCCGCCGAGCCGAGGGGGAACCTTTAATTGAAATGAGGGAATGAATAGAGCCCTGCACGGGCCCGGCCCTTCCGACAGCTTATCAGAATATTCTCGGCCTGAGTCTGACCCGAGCCCGTGTCTTTTTTCTCTCTCTCTCTTCCTCTTTACACAGCTGCTGTTGCAGCAAATAGACTAGTCCAGTTTTGGTTTTTAATGGCAAAGTGGTTATATTTATTTTCGTTTCTTAAGTTAATTTAGAAATATGTTTTATGTTTGTTAAATTCAAGTTGTTGTTTTTTTAAAGTAAGACCAAGCGGACTGAGTTGAGCATATATGTTTGATCAATTTAGCCTTCTCAAATCAACATGACTTGACTAAATAAAATCTATAGACATAAAACACTTCGTGCAATTCACAATATGAATTAAAAAATGTAACCTAGATAAATGTGTGCTATTTGTCCGGAGAGTGGAAGCTGACAAGGCCTACAACTGCTTGCATAATAATTCAAATATTACATTACATTTAGACATTTAGCAGATGCTTTTATCCAAAGCGACTTACAAATGAGGATGATGGAAGCAATCAAAATCAACAAAAGAGCAATGGTATGCAAGTGCTATAACAAGTCTCAGTTAGCTTAATGCAGTACACATAGCAAGTTTTTTTTTTAATCATATAATAAATAAAAAGAAAACAGATAGAATAGAAAAAGAATAGAGCACCTAGTGTTAGATGCCTTTTTTTGCTTTTGTTAATCATCAGAAGTCCGAAAGTCTGAATTATAATTGTACAATAAATAAAAATAAAACAAATTCTTGAATTTTGTGTGAGCAGCTATTGGTAGCCAGTGCAAACTGATAAACAGAGTTGACATGCATTATTTTTGGCTCGTTAAAAATTAATCTTGCTGCCACGTTCTGGATTAATTGTAAAGGTTTGATAGAACTGGCTGGAAGACCTGCCAAGAGAGCATTGCAATGGGGGACCTTGCAGTCAAAATGGTTAAGAATCGTTGAATTAGATTCATCCTGTCACAGACTTGATAAAATGCAGATTTTGTATATGCAAAACAAAAATGATTTAAAATTACTATTACTATTTTACATTTTTAAGGGCTATTTATTAATAATTGTTCCTTGCTAGGTTCAGACAATTTCAGTTATTCTTCAGATTTTTTGTTTATACAGTGGGATCTTACTTTCAGAGGATTATATTTATTTTAACAGCAATAAAAAGTGTGTATTGAAAGTGTTTTTATGATGATGATGATGAGCTTCACGTGCGTCGCGAGTATCCACTAGAGGGCCTGTGTGGGGAGGTCGCTGTTGCTGGCATTGTTTCCGGGTCATCGTTTCTTCGCCATTTTCCTGGTGAGAATCAGAGAAGTGGAGAGGTAAGAGATCGCAACGTGTCTATAAATCTTCAGCCAGCTACTTCATAGCCCTGCGCTTCTCATTAGAATCAGTTGCGACGATCGGTGAGCTACAACATCTTGTGCGTTTCAACCGCTGGATTAAAGTTTTTTTAATAATTGTTGAAATGGTGGACGCGCGGCCTAACGCTTGCATAGCTAGCTTTGCGACGACGTTATGTCAGCTTAATTAATGTCGTAATTATATTCAGTGAAACACATAAAGATACATGCACAGAAAGACGCTGTAAAGCCCTCAACGTACATTTGAAGGATGCATGGCCTATCGTAGACTGGTTTTGCAGTAGTCTGAGCGAGTTTAGTGTTTATCTGCTGTGTGTCTCCGGAACTGCAGCTGTGCGGGTTACGTTAC